GTTCTAAATTACTCAGAGATCAGATTTATCATAGCCTAAACCAGGCCGTGGTTCTTGGTGTTCTGTCCTTTATTGGTTTAACTCAGCAAAGTGTTGGAAGTTTCTGGACTTTTGTAAAAATGTCCGCTTAACTTTAAAACTTAAAACAGCTGGTCGTCACATCAGAAAGACAGGGTCACGGCAAAAAAAAAGAAAGGTGAGTTCATGCGTTCACAATCTCTGCACAATCACAAATCGAATCCCAGTCTTTTCTTAACAGAATATCACCCATTACCAGCATTGTGCTTAAGGTCAGGCAAATGTCAGAAGGATGTTTTATAGACAGATGAGACGAGAATAGACTGGTATGTGAGTTCAAAATGAGTTTAGATATGTTTAAGAAACGTATCCATCTGTGGTGTTAGCATGGTTTAATAAACAAAGATAAACCCTGGGGGAAAAAAGAAAAAGTCTTGCAGCAGGACATTCACCCTAGGCACTCTGATTGTTCTACTTGAGTAAAGTTAAGGAGGAAAAAATGCTTTTCTAATGATGAGTTAAAGCTTTTAATGATGATGCTCAATATGGAACAGTAATTTCTCTATCCGGACTTCTCAATAGAGACATGCTAAATAAGGATATGAAACATGGCCTCATTTGTTATGTCAATTTTTCTCTTTTCTATGTTTGGACTGAGAACCCCTTAATCTCAGGTGATGCAAAAATTTAGAAGCTCGAAAGGGTTCATACGCTTTATAATGATCAGCTTATTGTTTGGTTGTCATTAGTCGCTGGTCACGGTTATCTTAATGCTCAGTATTTTTGCCCACCTGATTTTTTTTTTTCCCGGCCAGTAATCTCCCAATAACATGTTAATGACTATTAACATGTTATTTTGACAACACATCATCATTTTCCTCAGTTTTAAAGAAGTTTGGAATGTTGTTTCTCAAACCAGAAGATGTAATAAAGTGTTTTTTGAAGATACACATGAAGTTACACGAGAAATTATTCCCAGACGACACGTTTTTGGCACCGTCGACTGTGAATAGGAGGACGTGTGACACATTCTTTTCACCACTGGTTCACTTATTTACCCAGATGCTAAATGAAAACCAATGTCCTGTGGCCTGAATATAAAAGCATTCGCATTAAAGAAGTCATCCGTGCAAATATACAGCTCAACGCATGCAAAGTGCTGACTCGCATGTTTGCATGCGTGCGCGTAGACGGTAGCGTGCACGAACACGTGGGGGGGGGGGTCAGTGAGAAGGGATCGGTATCTCCTCTGTCTTTGGAGTGCCTGAGCTCATCAGTTTAGACTTGAGTGAGACGGGCGCTGGTCCTGACCTAATCCCATCCCTCTCCTCTTCTCTGCCTCGCCGGTAATTGCTTCTGTTTGTTTTTAATAGCATGCGTTATCTTCAAAGATCCAGACCGCGGGCTGCCAAGTGTTCACAGCGAGCCGCGGTAGGCGCCGCGGTGGCCAGAGTCCAAGTCCGAGCGAGCAGATACCCAACTTGACAGGAACTCTGGGGAGTCCTGTTCCGTCCCCCCCCCCACCCCCACCCCCATCTCTGTCTCTGTGTGTCTCATGCCTCTGCTTTTTGCCTCGAGAATTTTAATCAGGGTCCCTCTTTGAACTGGAGATAGACAGCAACCACACACACACACACACACACACACACACACACACACACACACACAC